GAGGAGCCCAGCCAACTCCTTCCCACCACCAACACTTTTTTTCCAGGCATAATTTATAGCACTGGGGTGAATTTGTTTCCAAAAGATGAATATCACACTATCAGCAACAGCTGCCTCTCATTTTTATTTGTTTTTAAATTTGACTCAAAGTCCAATTCTCCATACACATCCGAAGCGACTGATTACATGATTTAGTAAACAGGTTAGATTATATAATGCAATTAAAGTGGGGCCCTGCGACGCCACCTACAGGCCGCTTCTGGGAAGGGCGCCAGGCCAGAGACCCCCAAGGGACCAGGCTTGCTTTCGAAAGCAGAAAGCAAAGAACCGGCATTGCTCCAGAGTTGAGGCGGCAGCCCCAGAGGGAGAGGCCGAAGCCAGCCAGGTTACGAGTGAGTGCGGCGTTTCGACCCCTCCTGCTGAGTTCACTGTGTTATTTCAGCCTCCTGCAACTCTGTCTAGACGTCAGGACCCAGGTCTGGGCAGCTGCTCAGAAGGGACGGCCTGGGGATAGGTGTGGAGGGGGAACCTGGGCGTCTCTGCTGGGGCCATCCAGGGCCCTGGCTCTCTGGCCTCCCCCACTCTCAAGCGAGACAGCGGGGAGGAGAAGGCGGAGGGAGCTGGCTGGCCTGCAATGAAGCTATAATCCAGCTCTTTCCACTCAGTTCAGCAAGCATGTGGGCAGAGACTCTGCAAAAGCTCTGGGGAAGCCCTTTCGGTCTGCAGTCCTGGCAGGAAGGTGACGTGCGCGGGCCGCAGAGAAGTGGCATGTCACTCTCAGTGTGGCAGACTTTCCGCCCTAAACACGGGTGCCACCAGTCCTGGGAACTGGGAGCTGAGGCCAACCGCACACGTCCCCCTCGTGCAAATCCCAGAGTGTGCAGAAGAGAAAACTGAGACCCAGGCAGGCACCGGGACTTCCAGGGCTTCTCCTTGCACCAAGGACAGGAAAATCATGAAAATGTTGCAGGACAGAGGTGAGAAGTGGTCCTGGGGACGACCTCTGGGGGCATCTCTTAGCCGCTGTGGGGCAAGGAGGAAGGGGAAGAGGGGAGAAGGGAGACAGGGAGGGAGGGATCCCTATGCTGCCCTGAGCTACAACCCTGTTCAGATGACTGAAGCCCTAGAGTCTCAAGCATTTTCCTAAGAGTGGGTGACATCACAGAAGACAGACCCGCCAGGAGATATGGGGCTTGCAGAATCAGAAGGGCGTTTGATGTGGTGTGTATGGGGGAGTGGGGTCCCGAGCCCAGGGAAACGGGACGATGCAAATATCACCCCCACCACCACCTCCACACCTGTGCCAGCCATTGCCGGGCTCCAGTTTGGGGCAGGCTGGTTTGACAGCAAGGGGCCCTTCCTCCCTCTCCTGCCTCTGTGCTGGACACAGTTTAGTCTCTGCTAGGGTCAGGGGCCAGGAACAGATGCTGTCAGGCCAGCTGGCCAGGGAGTTTCCAATTAGACTGTTTCTCATCCTCCAGGCCCTGAGCCCCCAACCCTGGCATCCCGGCCCAATTACTGCCCGGCAGCATTAACCCCTTGGTGCCCCCAGGCCGTTAATGGAATGTTAATTGGTCTAATGGGTTTCATGTCAACAAGTCCTAATGAGCTGCTTCCTAACAAGGCTGGTGTTTTTTTCTAAGCCTGTTTGTCAACACTGGAGTTTCCGAGGTGTGGGACCAGGAGCAGAGGTGGGGGGAGCAGGAGTGGAGGAGGTGCAGGGGGAGGGGTACCCTCAGATGTTTCTTCGTGCCCTGTGCCTCCCCGGCTCCTGGGCGTTCTAACGTGGCGACGGCTGTCAGTCACACAAATGATTGCTTCTTGGAGATCCCTGCCAGGTTGAGTGTTGCATTTGAGGCGTTTTCTCTCGGCGCAGCCAGATCATAAAGGCTTTTGCCATGAGCCTCTGCTGGACGGGGAGACCTCTCGACACTAAACTTCCTCGCCTGTCCTCCATTTGCAGTCTTTGGCTGTGCTCCCTTGAATGCCCTGGTGTCTGGTGACAAGCGCGGAGGCCTCTGGACAGAGCCTCTGACCAAAGCTCTTGGAAGCTCTGAGCAGAGGGAGGGGGAGGGGAGGTTTGCCGGGCCTTAGGCTCCCTCCTCCCATCCCAGCTCCCAAAGAAAGTGCAAAGAAGGCAGGGCTCCTCCAGGGCAGAGTTCCAGCCGCTGCCCCAGCCCATCTCAGATGAGTGGATCTTCCGGAGCCGCTCTTCTCCTCTCCGCAGGCCGGCGATGGCTTCCGGCCCCATGCGGCTGAGCTCCCCACGAGGGTCAGCGGTGCAGGCCTCTGTGGCTGAGTGAGCAGGGAGTGGAAATAAGCCCCTGATGAAAAGGCCTCCTGTTCTGCAAGGGACGCCCCTCCTGTGGCCTCTGGTGACCCCAGGGAGGAGGAGGGGACCCTGGCCAGCTGGGTCCTCAGAAAATTGTTCCCGGGGCCCCTGCTGGGGCTGGCCCGGCGGGCTCGGCACTGAGAAACCTCTCAGCCTCTTGTCTCCCTGCACAGACCACTCCTAGCCCTGACTGCGTCTGGGGGACCCTTCGTCCCATTCACGGGGCAGGGGACAAAAGAACTGGAGTGAAAGGCTCCTTGCCGAGCTTCCTTTGCTTTGCTTTCCCTGCAAAGTTTCCTTGGAACAAGGTTCCCAAAAGACCCAAACCCGAGGTTAAAGGGCACCCAGGGCCCCTTGGAGGAGAGAAAACCCTTCCGTAGGCTCAGCTCCCTCCCTGACTCTGCCCCCGTGCTCCCTCTTCTGGAAGCTGCTGGCACTGCAGCACACCCGCGGGCCACATATTTCTGGCCTGGGAGCCGCTGTGATTGGTGATCTTACTGCCTAAGGGTTCCTTTAGACGGGACCCAAACTTGCTGTATCTACCAGAGTTTCAGGAAAAGCTGCGCCTCCCACTCTCGGTCTCTGATATCTCGGGAAGTCTGTACCCTTGATTTTCCCTCTGCACTCCAGAAGGAAACCTTGCACGCTCTCATGCCCAGAGGTGGGGGAGACCCTGGGTGCTGTCCTTGCTAGCATGCCCTGGGGGCCCATCCTCTGAAAGCGGGGGAGGGCAATGGACAGCCACAAGGCCAACAGGAAGTGTCTTGAATGGCAGAAGCCAGCTCTCCCGGAACTCTCCCCGGTGGTACCCCACCCCCATCTTCTTTCTCAACTGACCACCTCCTCCCCTTACTGACTACATTCTTAGGAGAGAAGACCTGGCCTTATTCTCCCATCCTGACACTCCCAGCACAGTTCTCTACAGAGTTGATTCTTTTTTCCTTTTAAGATATATTTATTTATTTAAAAGGCAGAGTGATAGAGAGGAGGGAGAGGGAAACAGGGAGGGAGGGAGGAGGGAGAGAGAGAGAGACTCCCCAAATGACTGCAACAGACAGGGCTGGGTTGGGCTGAAGCCAGGAGCCGGGAAATCCATCCCAGTCTCCCACGTGGGTGGCAGGGGCTGGAGTGCTTGGGCCCCCCTCCACTTCCTTCCCAGGATGTGTTAGCAGGGAGCTGGATCAGAAGCAAAATAGCTGAGACTCAAACCAATATTCGGATGTGGGACATCGGCATTGCGGGTGGCAGCTTAGCTCACTGTGTCACAACGCTGGCCCCAACAGATCCGGCTCTTGACAAAAACCTACCGAACAAAGCATGAATTCCCAGTGCTTTGCATGTGCACCTAAGGTGAAAGCATACTTGGGACTTTGGAGACTTAGGTCAGGGCCGAGTAGGTCATTCCTCTCCTTCCCAAAACAGAACCAAAAGAACAAGACACACACACTGGCCCTTTACTGAACAGCTCCAGAACACCTTGGAGTTGCCCCAGAATTCAGGACTGTGAACGTGGTGGAAGACTGGGGAGGGGGAGGCTGGAAGACCTGCACCTGCACCTGCACCGCACTCAGGTTCTCAGGAATCTGGACCAGGCAAGGAGCCTGTGGCCTCCAGCTCTGGGCATCTGCTGCCACTCAGCAGTTCTCAGGATAGCCTGTTTCCTTGGGGGCATGGCCAGAGTGTCTGCACTTACAGCACCATGTTCTAGTTCTAGAGGAAACCTTGAGGCCCCCTGGGGCAGCTCTTGTGTTGGTGATGGGTGGTGGTGGGGGGGGGGTTTGGGTCAGTGGAACAGACCCAGAACTGGAAATCCTTGCTCCACGAACAACACTGCACACACACACACACACACACACCACCGCACATGTACATCCACACACCTCTTGGCTTCTGTCTCCCTCTGTTAGAGATGAGTGGACCATTTGGCCCCAATGGCTCTTCTTTATATTGGACCAAGGCTAAGGGAAATCTCCCTTTGCGCACGCCCATATTCACAAGTGTGCACCTAAAACATCCTGGGAGGTGACTGGTGCTCCTTGCCTCTTTCCCTTCCCCAAGACCTCCAGGCTGTCACTCTAGGGGCCCCTCTGAGGAGGACCAGTGGCCCATGTCTCTTCCCACCACTAGGGGGTATGGTGAGCATTCCTGGGTGGGATGAACTGGAAGAGTTGGGAGTCAAGACTTCGGGCCCTGCGAGTGCTGGCAGCTGGTCCAGGGCCCCTGGGAAAGGGTGGGACAAGGAACACCCTTGTCTGTGGGCACAGGGACCAGGGCAGGATGAGGCTCAGGGCCCTGCCAGGATTGGCCAGGAAGGAGGGGCATCCAAATGGAATTCCAAACCCCCTGCACAGCCAAGCCACCCTCCCGCCCTCCCCGGACCCCACACACCAGGCCGGAGCTGATGTTGAACAGAAGCCTTGCTGCAGGCGTACAGGTTGTTTTACATATGATTTGAATATTGCTTCTTTCAAGTTAAAATAGCATGGCAAGCCTCTCCCAGCCAGGCGTCTCCATAGTTCTCATCTGCCTCCCTGAAGGACCTCCAGCCCTTGCTGTGTTCAGTCTTTCCAGGTGGCTCAGCCCAGACACCTGTGGAGCTGGTGGGTCCTCAGGGGCTGCCTGCACGGTGGGATTAATGGTGCGCCACCCCCCCTGTCTCCTGCTGCAGGTCCTCCATGTGAATCAATCCCATGATGCAACATGCCTCCCCAGCCCCAGCTCTGACGATGATGGCCACGCAGAATGTCCCACCCCCACCCTACCAGGACAGCCCGCAGGTGAGTGTACCACAGACAGTGGGGAGGGAGTGTGTTGGCCTTGGAACTCCAGCTGGGTGGGCTGGCCATGGAGGTAGTCCAGGGATGAAAGGGCAGGGCTGTGGATCCTGGCAGCAGCCCCTTGAAGGAGCTCATTGCGTTTGACAACACTCGGGTACTCTGTGGCCAGCACTAGGACTATAACCTGGAGTAGTGGCCATGACCCTGGACTTTGGTATCTGTGCAGCAGAACCCCATTGTGATGATGAGGGCAAAGCACACACCTGGGGAGATCCAGGTGCAAGGTGTCCATAGAGTCTGCCTTTGAGTGCTTGAGAAACTTCGCCCTTACAGACTCCTTGATGCCAGGTGCCCCTGTGGGCTGGGCATTTGAGCTCTTGTGTCCCTCACTGAACACAAGTCCCCTGGGTCTGACAGCACTCAGCACACCTGAGGATTTCCCTCTCTGTCTCTGCGGTATTTGGATCAAGAGACCCCTACTTCTTACCGCTGCTGTCAGCACTTCCACTTTTCCATGTCCCACTGAATCTGTTTTTATAAAATAACAAGAGCAGAATGCAATGAGGTATTTAAATACATTTGGAGAAACACTGTGCTACCAGGACAGGACCAACCAAAAGCAACTGTTGCTGTGTAGGTAGCCCCAAGTGGAAGGCAAAATGTGTATATGTACCTATGAGAACCCAACAAAGAACAAACAGCAATTGGTGGTATCAACATGACATCATTCTTTTTTTTTAAAAGATTTATTTATTTTATTTGAAAGTCAAGATTACAGAGAGAGAGAGAGAGAGAGAAACAGAGAGATCTTTCCTTCTGCTGATTCACTCCCCAAATGGCTGCAATGGCCAGGGCTGGCCCAGACCAAAGCCAGGAGCTTCTTTCAGGTCTCCCTTGTGGGTGCAGGGGCCCAAGCACTTGGGCCGTCTTCTATAGTTTTCCCAGGCACATCAGCAGAGAGCCGGATCAGAAGAGAAGCAACTGGGACCCAAACCAGCACCCATATGGGATGCCAGCACTGCAGGCAGAGGCTTAGCCGGCCACGCCACAGCGCCGGCCCCACTCATGAGAATTTCAAATACAGCCTTTCTCATGGACCATGGGGAAGAGCTGTACAACATGGGAGGGTGCTCAGATGCAGACCCAGGGAAGGGAGACTGGCTCCCACTAGGTCCTGTGGCCCTGATGCCCCCAGTCTGGTGTACTTGCTTCCTTGTCACCCCCTAGGGAATTTCAAGATAACACGGGGCCACTTGTGTCTGGCAGGCAGGCTAGCTCTGCCTGCTGTTCCCCAGGAAGTACAAAAGCCCTGGGCATTCACTGACCTCCACTGAATCTTTGAGCACACAGCCTTTAGGCTCCAACCTCACTCCCACGTAGCAACTTCACAGTCCTTGCTCAGCTCTCTCCAGCCTAACCTCATAGTCAGCGAGCCCTCAGCTCAGAGCAGCATCTCTCCAAGAACAACAGCAGGGCCAGACTCGGCATTTACACGGCTCCTCTAGTCAAAAGCTTTCAGGGGTCCATCACTAGGTCAGGGCCTTTCCCTCTGTAAGCCTAGATCCCAAAGAAGTTCAGAAGGAACTGGTGGAGACTGGTGGAGACCTTCTGATTCCCAGGAAAAAGTGAGAAAGAGAAGGACCAAGGTGGAGAGCTAGAACCCACCCCTCTTCAGGAGAAACCGACCTGTTCCTTCTCTCCAATCTCTACCATGGAAGTGGGAATAGAGATGGGGACAGTTCCTGCAGTTAGCAGGTGGCCAATCTGCCATACCCAAGGTTCTAGGATAGACTTGGCAGGGTCTGAGGACACTGGACTGGCACCGTTGGTGGTGGCTGCTTCCTCATTTTGCCTGCAAGACAGCTGGGAGGAAGGTTTGCTTTGATGAGGATTTGCAGGAGCACTGTAATGAGGGCCCAAGAATGCTGATCCAGGGCCCGACATCCAAATGAATAAATCCCAGCCACTGAGGGAGGGGTAGAGGTACAGCTACAGCCCTAAGGTGCTCAGCCCCCCAGAAGTTCCCACTGATGCTCTAGACTTTGGAGGGAAGAAGGCTCCAGTTTCCCCTCCCAGGCCTCAGAGCAGAAGCCGGGTGCAAAGCCAGCCCATGGCTCTTTCCTTTGAGGATCTGCCAAAGCCCCACACCATTGACAGTTCAGGGTTTTGTTTTTTTTTTTTTTTTTGACAGGCAGAGTTAGACAGTGAGAGATAGAGGATAGAGACAGAGAGAAAGGTTTTCCTTTGTCGTTGGTTCACCCTCCAATGGCTGCCGCGGCCGGCGCACCGTGCTGATCCAATGGCAGGAGCCAGGTGCTTCTCCTGGTCTCCCATGGGGTGCAGGACCCAAGCACTTGGGCCATCCTCCACTGCACTCCCGGGCCACAGCAGAGAGCTGGCCTGGAAGAGGGGCAACCGGGACAGAATCCAGCACCCCGACCGGGACTAGAACCCGGTGTGCCGGCGCCGTAAGGCGGAGGATTAGCCTAGTGAGCCGCGGCGCCAGCCTGAGAGTTCACGTTTGCAGCAAAGGGTCAGTCTTCCGTGGGGACACCTCACATCTACTGTAACCCCCAGAGACCCAGGAGAGAAGCTTCAGACAGGAAAGGGCAGTGTCCATGGGGAAGTGAGCAGGCCAAGGACTGGGGATCTTTGTGGCCTTGGCTAAGACTGTAGGCTGCAGCTCCATGGCCGTTGGCTCTCCCTGACTGGAGCCCTCCAGGGAACTGATCAGGATGGGTACGGTAGGAAGGGAGTTGGGGCAGGACAGAGCAGGTGGGAGGGTTTGGGAGAGGTGCCCAGAACGAAGGCTCTGATTTCTGGGCTAAAGGCTGTTCTTTGAGGCCCACTGGCTTTGGGGGATCCTTGTCCCCACCTTGCACTTGTTCCTGTGCCCCTCCCCATTTTAGGCTGGGGAGCTTAGCTGGTCCTCCTACTTTCTTCCCTGTATTCTTTCAAGGGGCTGCCCCCAGCTCCTCCGGGACCCTCTGCTGCATTTCCTTCCTTATCCCTCGGAGCCAGCTGCTCTGTAACGCGCGGGATCTTCAGGAGAGCAGGGCCTCATCGGAACAGGGGCCAGGCACACAGGGGAATCCCATCCTGAACGGGGCTCCTCGCTCCTGGAGGCCGAACCCCATTACTCTGGGGCCTCCACGACGTGCTTCCTCAAGGCCGGGACAGCTGAGCTCATCTCTAAACCACCTGCGCAGAAACCCAGTTTCTTCCACAGGCAGCAAATGGGCAGTCTCTCTCCTGCACAGGCTAGAATGAAAGAGGAAGCAAGAAGCAGAGCCCTTCCCTCTGAGACCCGTGCGATCGTTTTAATAATGTTCCCAGTGTGCTAAGGGCTAGCAATACTGAGCATAATCTATTCAAATGCACAGGAGAATCTCACTTTGGAAAATTAGGAATCTGCATTAAAAAAAATTCCCAAGCCCCGGAACCTTCTTTCTAATAAATTAGAAATTTTTTTGCAAGGCAAGTTCTTAACTTGGCAATTTCATTTTTGAAGTTTAGGGAATAAAGTTATTAAAAATGAAGGAAAGTGTTTTTTCTTCCCTTTTTAGTAGAGAAGCGTTAGTGGTTATGGGCTCGTACTGTTTGGGCACAAGCCCAGGACGCTGTTGGGCACCATGGTGAAGTTGTTTCTAGCCCCTCCGTTCTGTTTCAGCTCATCCTGCGGAGACTCCATGGTTAATTGTAGGACACAGTCTGTTTATTGTGCATGGAAGACTGTATATTTAGAAGGTGTACAAGCAACAACCCAGTAGAACCTTTCCCCTAGCCTATTTCCTTCTGCCAGAGGCTTCTGGGTGAACTGTATGAGAATAGCTGCACCGTGGATTGTCTGACTACAGTTTGTCACTCCCAGCATGCTGTAGGTGGGCCCTTGATCACCAGTCCCTCACTTCATGGCCCCAAAGGGGGAGGGGCCAGTCACCAAGGGATCATGGACTTGTGCAATGACTGTTTAATCAAAACATTGTCTCCAGGGAGACCTGGATAGAACGAGGTGTGTGGTCCCGCAGCCCAATGCACTGTGTGAATTCCATCACTCCCCTTCAGTTCTGCGACCCTGCCATGGTGAGCCTGGCTGTGCGGTACCTGGGCTTTCTCAGGCACCCTATCCGTGCAGCCCAGGCACCTTGAATGGAGCTCTCAGAGTTGTGTTCGATGCCGTAGCTCAAGCAAGAGCCTCTCCTGACTCCCTCTCTCCCACAATGATCTTGGGAACCCTTCTTTCATGCACTCTGTCCCCGCCTGTCAAGTCCAGTCAAGTCCCTTCATTTGCTTTCTTTTTCTTTTTTTAGATTTATTTATTTATTTGAAAGTCAGAGTTACACAGAGAGAGAAGGAGAGGCAGAGAGAGAGAGAGAGAGGTCTTCCATCCACTGGTTCACTCCCCAGTTGGCCGTAACAGCTCGAGCTGCGCCGATCCAAAGGAGCCAGGAGCTTCTTCCGGGTCTCCTATGCGGGTGCAGGGGCCCAAGGACTTGGGCCATCTTCTACTGCTTTCCCAGGCCATAGCAGAGAGCTGGATTGGAAGTGGAGCAGCAGGGACTCAAACTGGCGCCCTTATCAGATGCCGGCACTGTAAAGCGGCTGCTTTACCCACTACACCACAGCACCGTTCCCCCCTCCATTTTGTTGCGCTTGGTGTTCTTCCTTCCAGAGTTCCCCCAGCAGTGCCGGCAAAAGCACAGCTCCTCCACCTGCACCTTGCAGTTAGCATGCCCCACCACACTCTTCCTCACCCGTAGACACACACCAACTGTCCCACGCATGTCTTTGCCCTTGCTGATAGGGAAGACATACATTTTGTCAGCTCGGTTTGCACACGAGTCCGATGTTTGCTGTTCTTCAGTCTGTGTGTCCCCAGCATGTCAGGCTGCCTAAGCAGTGGCTGGAAAGCAGAAGTCTCCAAGGTTGCAGGACCACACATTGGGCATGGGCCCTGGGGATATAAGCACTCAGCCAGAAGTGGACTGGGAACAGGCTGG